TGATGAGTGGTGTATGATGAGTGGTGTATGATGAGTGGTGTATGATGAGTGGTGTATGATGAGTGGTGTATGATGAGTGGTGTATGATGAGTGGTGTATGATGAGTGGTGTATGATGAGTGGTGTATGATGAGTGGTGTATTGAACAACTTTTGAATGTCCGTAACACGGAAGTTTTGCACACTAAACTTCCTTTGATAAGAGTGTCCCACAAGAGTGTCCTACAAGAGTGTCCTACAAGAGTGTCCCACAAGAGTTTCCTACAAGAGTGACCCACGAGAGTGTCCTATAAGAGTGACCCACAAGAGTGTCTTACAAGAGTGTCCCACAAGAGTTTCCTACAAGAGTGTCCTATAAGAGTGTCCCACAAGAGTGTCCCACAAGAGTGTCTCACAAGAGTGTCCCACAAGAGTGTCTCACAAGAGTGTCCCACAAGAGTGTCCTACAAGAGTGTCCCACAAGAGTGTCCTACAAGAGTGTCCCACAATAGTGTCTCACAAGAGTGTCCCACAAGAGTGTCCTACAAGAATGTCCCACAAGAGTGTCCTACAAGAGTGGCCCACAAGAGTGTTCCACAAGAGTGTCTTCTAAGAGTGTCCCACAAGAGTGTCCTACAAGAGTGTCCCAGAAGAGTGTCCACAAGAGTGTCCTACAAGAGTGTCATGTGGACATATGTAGTTTTTCGAACGTGTTTACATTCCGGTTCGTGGGTTCCATCTTGTTTCATCCAAAGAAGCACGGCGTCGCTCTTCCAGCGTATTTGTTTACAGAAAGGAGTTCGGAGTTTGTATTCAGAGGGTCCAAGAATTTGAAAAATACCAAACTGAACTCCTTTCTGTCAATGAAGGTTTGTATTCTTCGTAAACCAAACTGAACCCCTTTTAGAAAAAAACCTTCGTAAACCTCAGAGGGTTTTGTATCCATGACCGGATGGAAGATTGGGGACCCCAGAGGCGGACACAGGTGACACGTCGCGTCGCGTGCGATTCAACGAAAGAAACCCCAGAAGGTAGGGCGGGCCATGCAGGTATAGGGACACGGTAGGGACAAGCACACTCCAACATCACCTCAAAGGCCTAAACCTTTGAAAACCGGTTGATCCATAGAGTATAGCACGGTGCTAGAGGAAATGACCTCGCCAGCTCACAACGGAAGGTGAACCTATAAATCCAATATGAATATAGTGCAAATCATTTGGCTGGGAGTTCTCTTTTTCGTTCCAAATATTTTTCACCACACGACGCATGGCCATAAGTCGGATGTTCAACTCATCACCGTCTTCCCCACGCGTTGCCCGTGTGTTTTTCCCGCGGGCAGGAGCGCTGCTCCGCTCAGTGGCAGGGCGGTGAGGAACGCCCCAAAAGCGTCGCATGCGAAAGCCCACAGCTGAGTCACTCGGATGCAGAAGATCTTTTTGAGTGTGGCCTTTTCGTTTATTTAAAGGGGGAGGCATGGTGGATATCTCCTCAAAATCTGGGCACTGTGCCCCTTGAGCTGTACCCAAAAAGATCATGGTGAGGTTTCTTCTTGTTTCTCCAGTTTGTTTCTCCACGCTTCGGGAGGGTGGCTCCTACATGTATCACAGTCCGCTTTGCACACCTACTCAATATGGTTTAAATGCCACCAAGCTATGTATTGGGCTCCTACATGTATCACTGTCCGCTTTGTAAACCAGACCAACGAAATATGGCATCAGTCGGTAGCTCAAAGGAAGACGGTTTTTCTTTGTAGAAAAGGCTGGTTTCTTGTGGTGCCAGGACTGACTTGGATGGAGGTGTTGGGAGAATTCAGTAGGAAAAGAAATTCAGTGAGTGCCGACTCCACTACACCTCACGACATGTCCTCAACATTGGGTCTGTCCGAACTTACCTGCAACAGGAACTGTAAACAAGAACATCACTATTTTTGAACAAGGCCTGCAACCTAAACTACCATCATCATCCACTGTTGACCCAAGTCTCAACATTGGTAGGTGTTTGGTCCTTTCTTCGTTGAGACTGAGCCCCTTCTTCTGATGTTGCTGAAACATGTCGATGCCAGGATGCTCGGGCTCAACCATCTCGATGCTTGGCAGTTGGAAGGTCTTGCTGTGACAGTCCTGGGTGAGTCGTAGCAGTCGTTCCGTATCTGAGCAGTGGAGCGGTGGAGCAGCTATCCACGTTGATCCAGTGGCAGCGATGAATTCATGTTTGTGAAATCCACTAGCTAAGACAGGGACCTTTGTTTTACCAGGATTTTGGTTCGAACTGAATATGCCTTACACTTGTACCCTATAGTCTGGCAGTTGGAATTTGCCTCAAGGACATGGAACAAGACCTTTTACTAATCATTCATCATCATCATCATCATCATCATCATCCACTGTAACTGGTAATAGGATATTTATATATACTCCCGGTGACAACGCAATGGCGCTTCTGCTCCATTTCCCGGCACCAAAGAACGGCGACCGAACCGAGGAAGCTGACCTCCGCACCGGGCTTCTCGCCCTCCAGTGGCGGGCCGAGCGGAGCGGAGCAGTGAAGCTGGGGAAAAGCCGGTTTCGGTCAGGTGATGGGAAAGTTTGATTCAAACAGACTAACTGGCCTTAGAGAGAGTCCAGATCCCAAACACGTACCCTTCATTGTTGGCAAAGCTCACCAAAACGATCCCTAGGGATCCAGTCGTACCGAACTTCAGCAGGTGATTGGACCCTCCCACCTACATGTCGCGGTGGAGACACCATCACCGTAGCTGAGAAGGTACGACTGGATCTGTAGGGATGGTGGTTTCACGCAAAAACTAAGGGCTCTCTCTCCTGCCTTGAAAAAACAATGGAGCCTGTGGAGACATGATGATAGTCATGATGATGTTCACAATGTTTGTGCTTTTGTTGTTCTTGTTGCTCCTTGGAACCTTAGCTGGCACGTTTGGTATGCTGTCTTCAGTTGGAGGCGGATCATAGGATGTGCAAAAGGCTTCATAGGGATGAATATCAGTGGATTATCAATGGATGCGCAGATGGTCAAGATATTCTTACTTGCAAACCTCACAAGAACAATCCGTGTCACTGAATGAACCTGCACAAAGACTAGTGACACGCGCTGGACTGAACCGTGCTCTAGCAATGTCTGGAAGTACATTGAAAGGAGCAGCCTAGGCAGCGGAATAGATCATGATTCAAGGCAACCTTGTGCAGTGAGGAGCAAACACGGAACATCTGCCAACTACACAGGAGCAAAAAGAGACTTCTTCGCGTTGGAGAAGTAATTAATTACAAACATTCCAATCAATACCATTAAGACTCCAAGTGAGTGCTCAAATCCTGCTGGACACCAGCTTGGCAAGCCTTGCGCCTCCCCTCTCTTTCTCAACTTCCGCATGCCACGATTCACGAGGCAAAGATTTGACTGAGACCTCCGACCACCAAGAAGGCTGGTGCTGGGCCCGTCAGAGCCTGGGCGGCTTGGGGCTCGTGGGGGGGGGCTTGGACTCCACTCTTTCACTGGCTTGGTCTTTTGGGATTGGCCAAGTGCGGGAGGAGCAAATCCTAGAACAGAACCATTGTCCCAGTTACTGGATGAAGAGCTTTTCAGAAGTCCTTGTTGGAAGGGCAGATGTGAAGCTCATAGCAGTCCGGGAAGACAGACAAACAAATCCCGAGATGAAATATGCAATCACCCTTGCCTATAGTTTGCTTTTATTTGGTGTATTTTGTCCGTTTTGTCTCCCTTGGTGTCTCTGGTTAAGAAATCGATATGAACCCATCAATTAGTGGTGGTGCAGAGATTCAGTCACCTTATCTACCACTAAGGCACGTCGTCACCTGTCTTACGACGTGCCTTTTCTCTTTGGGCTTCCGGACGGTATCCACCGTACAGTACCCCCCATCCCATCCCAAATGTCACCGACAAGCATCGACCCGACCGACGTCATGCAGCCTAACCTCCCCGCTCGCCATGTTCCTCTTCCGCTCGCGTCGTGGACGGCGTCGTCCGCGGCCGTGCCAGGTGAACTGCAGGACTTGAGCTCAGAGCCCTTGTCCTTGGCGGTGCCGCAACTCCGCGAGGCAGAAACTCGACCCGCTCGGTTGGGTTGGGTTCCCCGGGCGAATGGTTCCACGATTGGAGGGCGATGGGGTGCGGTGGTTTCCATGGTTTTGATGAGTTGGGTGAAGTATCAACCGCGATTTCGAACGAACCGGTAGAATTTTTCTGTCAGTTTGATGTACTTGTTCAATCGAGTTGTGTGCTTTCATCGTTAAAGCAGCTTGAATCGAACAACATCAATAATAATGTGTGTTTAACAACTTTAACATCCATTATTTAATGTATAACTTTGTGTTTGAAGCAATTGTTTTGAAGATATGTTTGACATATTTGTGTGTTTGTTCAGTGCCACGAACGTCTCCCTCTTTCTTCCCTTTGCTCTGGACCCACACGCCGACTCCGCGCGTCGCGCGCATCGCCAGGACGACTCGCCGCCGGCGCTGCGTCTCCAGAGTCTCCTACAAGGCGCTCCATCTCGAGTCGATCGATGAGGACGAAGAGTCGTTTTATCTCGAACGAGCGAAGAGACGGAGAATGTTGTGCACCCACAAAACGAACGTCAATGGTTTGACCATGTTTAGCTTGAAGCTTGAAAAACAAATGGATGATGACCTTTTGGAGGTTGCTGGTGGAATATGTGTCCTACATTGAACCCACAAAACCATCTCAAACCAGTGAATCTTCAAGACCATCAATCACACGACAGATTGTCAAAGCAAAGGTGTTCGAAAAGTTGCGTAGGCTCAAAAACAACGAACACTGCAGACAGACGCAACTCATGTTTTGAAGTCGCCAGTCACATCTGCCGCGTGGTCATAGCACTAGCTCGCTGGAGAGCTGCACTTTGTGAGTCCAACCGTTCGCAGAGACTGAGCGTCTGGTCACCTTGACAAATCCCCAGTCTTTCACGAGATGTCGCTGCTAGAGTATCAGGGGGCATATGGAGTTAGACAGTGCAAGTCCATTCCATAGTTACCAAGCTTGAGGGCCTACGATATGAAAAAACACAGTCGACATGCAAAAACCCAGCGCAAAATTCTGACGACGCCAGCCAAAACTGCTCGGAGCCTGAGGAACCCTGGACCAAGAACCCCTCATGAAAACCCGGCGCTTCCTGCTTTCGCGCCGCCGTCGCGACGGCAGGTCTCTCGTTCAACGTGGAGGGCCAGACGTGGTCCAACAGCATCGCGGAGACGCCGCTTGGGGCCAAAGGGTCCGATCGAATGTCTTCCGTTCGTAGCGTTCTTGTTCCTAGCCCTAAGGGTCCAGGACCATCCGATTCCCCCAAGACCATTCTCAGGAAGTACTTTCACCTTCAAGGCCATCCTCAGGAGGTACCTGGACCCGAACTGGGTAGTAGTAAGGCCAGGAGCCCCGAACGTAGGTTTCTGGGGCCGCATGGGGAGATGCTGTCTTTCAGACGGCGGAGCTGTCCTAAGCACCTGGACCCAACGTCGACCGCACCCGGCCACCCGGCTGGCACTTACGGGCCCCCTGGTCGTCCCACCTTCTGAGGTTCGGCATGACTGGATCCCTATAGGGTGTTATTTCAATATATTTCAATAGCCAAGGCCAAGCAAGCAAGCGATGGGTAGATCGACTGACTGGTGGATTTGTCCGAACCGAACAACAAATGGGGTCTTCAAAGTGTTTTGGGTGTCTCCCTATTTTTGAGACACACTCAACTGGACAGCTGTGCCATGATCTTTCATGAAGAAATGCAGATCTTCATGATTTAGATGGCAAATTCCAATGTGTATAAGCGTTGGCCATGCAATTCCATGCGTAACCCGAGGGGCGTGGCACGGCGAGGTCGAAGGAAGACGGAAGGAGGTCGAGTAGTCGATCGGATCGCAGATGAGGTCGAGTAGTCGATCGGATGACTCTGATGGCAGGTGTGACTGCAGGTGTTGCCCTAAAGAAAGCAAAGCCATGCTTTTTGCATGTGAAAAGCTATACCTTTAGAACATTGGGGTTGGGCTGTGCACGCTTCTTTAAAAGCCATGGCCATAATTACCTCTTTTGAAGAACATCTACCATGTGTACACCAAGCCCCATACCAGCATCCCACCATCCCAGAATCATCACCACCAAACCTCCGCCGCCCGAGGAAGGCGGAGATCGAACGCCTCAAGAGCGCCAGCCGTCGCGCCGAGCACGGCGACGTCGCCGGCCCGTCGGCGTCCGCGTCGCCCGCGGCGAACGCGTCCGCGGACGAGAAGACCTCGTAGCAGCGGGCGAAGGTGGCGTTGAAGGACTTGAAGGTGGAGAAAAGGGATGAAAGTGGTAGGAGAATATGTGTTGAGGGTCTAAAAAACCATTTCCAGGATTGAAAGATTATACACTTCGTGATCTATGATCCTTTTGTTTGTATATTAAGTGTTATTGATTGATTCATTGCATCACAGAGATCCCTAATTATCTTGTTTTTGCAGACTGATGTCGCGCCACCTGTGACACTGGCAGACTGTCAAGCTTGCGCCGTTTGCTGCTCTCCAAAGGGTCACAGGGGGGGGATCTTCAGATACGAAGGGAGTCGTTTCCAGGACTCTTTAGGCCAAGTAAGAGCTGAGGGATACAGTATTGATAGCTCAAAGTCGATACAGTAGATGAAAAAAGACCGGATCAGACAAGACAGGATGTAAAAACCGGACAAGACCGGATGAATGAGCTACAGATAGGACCGGATTGAAGAGCTGGATAAGACCGGATGAACGAGCTACAAAAGACGGGATCGGATATGGACCGGATTGAAGAGCTGGATGAGACCGGATGAACGAGCTACAAAAGACTGGATCAGATAGGGACCGGATGGAAGAGCTGGATAAGAGCGGATGAAAGGGTTGCAAAAGACGGGATCAGATAGGGACCGGGTGTAAGAGCTTGATAAGACGGGATGAACGAGCTACAAACGACGGGATCAGATAGGGACCGGATTGAAG